CCTTCAAACGCCTATAGTCTTATGGGGTTTCCTGCGTTATTTTATGGCAGAAAGACAAGCACCAGCGGCTGTTCAAGCCACCCGGCACCTGCTGGACCTCTACCTACGGCCACAACCGGCCGAGGGCCATGTTAGAGCTCAGGACGATGATCTACAACCCGAAAACCGTTGCCAGTAAAGCCCCCGTCGAGTAGGTTCCGTTGGTTTTGCTTTTCTCTCAATGCTCCACATGCATGTTTGTGATAATTTAGGGCATCTCGGAGAAATACCAGTAGTCCTACTTTACATCCCGTATAATGTTTTACGGTGACGTGGTAGCTTTTAGACATATACGGTAATACGTTTAGTCGTATCGTACGTTTCTGTGTGTACTTTTCACAGATTTACGGGTTGTTGTTTGCACCACTTTCGGCCGAAATGTGGTGCATTAATTTTCCGGCGTGCGTAATACAAATTAATACAAAAGTTGCAAATTTCGCAGGGCTATATTTTCCGCATTTTACAACATTGCGCGGCCAAACTTTGCAATTTCACTAATTGTAACATGTTCCGGCTTTCTAGCTGTGGTGATGGATTTTACTCTTCTTGCCTAGATCGAAATTTAGTCTATAGCTGGAATTGTCCATACATTGGTTACTACGTCCGGTAAAAACACACATTTGAACAGAAAATATAGGGTCTTAAATAAAGCTTCAACGGGGTCAGGATTTTTAATTTTTTGATTGGATTTAACGTGACAAGGTAAAATAAAAAAATTTCTAAAAATTTTGCCGCTGGGATTTGCGTTTTATTGCCTAGTTTTAAAGTTATCGGCATTCGAACAGCGGTGTATAAAAAGCGCGTAAGTTGGAATGCCGATAATATTAGAACTAGGTAATAAAACGCAAATCCCAGCGGCAAATGTTAAGAAAATTTCTTATTTTACCTTGTCACGTTGAAAACAATAAAAAAAATAAAAATCCTAACCCCCTCGAAGCTTTATTTAAGACCCTATATTTTCTGTTCAAATGTATGTTTTTACCGGAAGTGGGCTCTCTGTGCTCGCAGGAAAATTACCTACAATGACCAATTACGCATTCTGATTGGCTTAGAGCGAAATTGCCAACAAATGCGTTGATTGGTCGAGAACGAAATTCCCCTTTGTTTTTAAGTCGCGTCCCAATCTCGTTCCCCGAGCCTGCGACCGCAGGCTCGGGAACGGGGAACGAGATTGGTCGCGTCCAGTGAACTGTAAATAACCTGGAACGATAACTCAAGTAAACATGCCCATACTTGCCCGAAGCCAAGATGGCGGCCAGTAATGCGTGTTTTTTGCGTGGCTATGTCACGAAGTGTCGGTCGGCAGAGAACGCATGGTAATGGCGCGATT